GAAAGGTCTCACCTCGTCTGCGGGTGCACACAGCCCCCACCCACTCAAGAGCAGGGCATTGCCCTCCAGGCCCCCACACCCACTTAGGGTGAGTTAGCAGCAGGCTAGGGGCACTGCCTGGCTGGGCACTTACACCGCATAGAAAGGCACACCCTCACTTCCCGGGAAAGGAAGAGGGGAGGCAGTCAGGGCAAGAGGGGGAAGGCACAAGTTTCATTTCCAAACTGCTCTCACATTTGGACTGGGCCTCCTAAACAGGTCCGTCCTCAGGCAATCTTGCAAGGCTGTGGCCTACCTGACGGGGTGAAGGGTGACAGGTGAGGGACACCACCGAGGGCTCCCAGCCAAGCCCACGGAGCAGCAGGCCAAGCCGCCCCCTTGCCCACCCAGCACTTCCTGTGCCTCAGCTGCCCGTCACTTCACCAGTGGGTGACCTTGGGAAAGTCACCTTACCTCCCAGGGCTCTGGTTTCCTCATCTGTAAAATGGTTATGACTTGTAGAGAGGACTGAACGACAGAGTCCGTGGAAAGGTCTGGCCCAGGGCCTGCCATGTATTTAAGACCGCAATAGTAGCTGCTGTTATTGTTACGGCAGGTTTCACCCGTCCCTTTCTGGAAGAGAGGTTAAGCGACCTGTCCAAGGCCACAGAGCTAGAAGGTGCTGGGAAAGATCCCCACAGGACTGACTTTCCATTGTGCCAATCTGCCTCAAAGGCAAGCAGGTCTCCCGGGCCCTACCTGAGCACCCAGAACCCTGGAAATCCTTCCTAGGACCAGACCCCTTTTTCTGAGGGATATGTGGAATCAAGGCCTCTGCAGGAAATCCTAGCAGAATATACTCAAATGCCTCTGGTATCTCGGGGATAGCTTTAAGGAAACTCTAGAAGGGAGCCCCACTCTGTCGGGTCTGGGCCCACAAGCCAGGTGCCACATCTGGACCCATGGGGGCAGAGGGGCCTCGGTCTGCTATGAGCACCAGCACTGCGTGCCTGGACCAGTTATGGAATGGGGGCAGGAGCACCCACGGGAAGCTGCAGACACATCTGCTGAGACCCCAGGGGACCGGGGCCAAGGTAAGCTGCCTATGGCCCGGCTTTCTGGGCTGGAGGGGGGCTGCCCCCAGAGATCGTGATGCAGGGTGCCAGGGGAAAGGGGTGAAGGGCAGGATCCCCATGTGCCCAGCCCCTGCCCAGCATATCTGTCAACAGCCAACCCTGTCAGAGGGCGTGAGTTTGGTGGCGGTGCCTCTGAGGGTGTCCAGGTGGCATGTGAGGGCTGTGGAATTTTACAGCCGCTTTTCCTCCAGTGGAACGCTGCTCCAGGCAGGCTATACGGCAGCAGTCCATTTAATTTTGAGGTTTTAGGCTCTCAAGAGACAGTTAAACATAGAACTTGCTACGCGATGCAGCAGGAACGCACTGGGAAAGATAGCAGGGGATGTTTGTGGCTGGGAGTAAAAGCCGTTCTAGAAACCTCAGTCCCACACATCCTTGAAGAGGGAATGGTTAACTCCCCGCATGTACTGGGAAGTCACTAGAACCCCCGGTCCTGAGGAGAGCTTGGCCCTGCTTCTACACCAAGGGCTAATCACAGGGACTCCTTGGCCACAGCGGGGACCAGGGCTGAAAGCGTCACCCTGCTCAGCGTCTCCTGGCACGGTCTGCAGACCGACCGCCAGCCTTGCACCAGCCTGGGAGCATCCTCAAAATACAGATTCCTGCCCCCCAACCCCATCCCCGGCTCAGGCTCTGCAGGTATGTGCTGGTGGGTCCCAGGGAACCCACCATTGTAACAAGCCCCTGGGCAGCTCTGAAGGCCTCCGAGCCTGAGAACCTGGAGAAGAAAAACAGAAGGGGGGGTAGAAAGAGCACAGGCCGCCAAGGCAAACAGATCCGGCTTCAAGTCCCAGCTTTGCCACCCGCAGGCAAGAGCCCTCGCCCCTCCAAGCCTTGGCCTTGAGCCTGTAAAACGGTGGAACCACCTCACAGAGGAGAGCTGCTATGTGTACGCGGTGACCCGGCGCACCACCCGCCCAATGCTCGGACCATGGCCGCTGATGACGACCGGGGACATGAAGGCCCCGCTGCTAGGAGGAGGGAGAAGGTGGGGAGGCCAACTCCTGGGGCCAGAAGTGTCTCGAGTGAGAAGAAAAAGAGACTGTAGGGAAAGAACAGGAGGAAGAAACACAGGTGAGGAAGACAGGCCACCAGGTAAGGACGCCTCGTTCCCAGCTCGACCCTGCCAGACCACAAAACCAGGTGGCCAGGCCTGAAATCCCTCCTGCCCCAACAGAGCGGCTTTAGACCCAGATCACAGGGCAGCCTTCTCCTCACCTGCCCACCCTCAAGATTACAACCCAAAAGGAGGGGCGCCTGGCTGGCTCAGTCGGTGAAGCGGCTGCCTTCGGCTCAGGTCATGATCCCAGGGTCCCGGGATCGAGCCCCGTGTCAGGGTCCCTGCTCAGCAGGGAGGCTACTTCCCCCTCTCCCTCGGCCTCTCCCTTCCCCTCCTCATGCTCTGTCTCTGTCTCTCTCAATGAATAAATAAAAAAATCTTAAAAAACAAAAAACAAACACCTGAAAGGAGAGGGGCGTGCCTGGCTAGCTCAGTTGGTGGAGCCTGATCTTGGGGTAGTGAGTTCAAGCCCCATGTTGGGTGTAGAGATTACTTAAAAAATAAAATCTTAAAAAAAAAAAAACAACAAAAAACCTGAAAGGAGCATTCCGAAGGGACCAAGACTTCCCCAGGGAACTGCCAGGGTAAATGAGTCAGGGCCATACTCAGGCAACACAGCAACCCATGCGTGTCCCTCCCAACTACCAACCTGGCCCCTGCCCTAGGCAGACAGCGGAGGCTGAAACCTCTCAGGACGGCCCATGCCGTTCCCTCCAAGCTGTCCCTGGCACGGAGGAGGAATTCTGATCTCAGATAAGTAGGACCTGCTGCTTCCTGCTCATCCCTGGCCAGAGAGGCCTCAGCTCAGGCCTCCCCTCTCCTGTCGGGGAGGCAGAGTTCCTCAAAACCAACAGGAAACTCCAGCAGAGCAGGGCTGGGGTTTGCTGACCTTGACCCAATAAACAGAAGAGTCAACAAAATCACACACCAGGCATTTCCTAACCGCCACCCCCCTGTGCTACTGTAAACACCCTCACAGATAGCTCCAAACCCCGGAATGGTGAGGATGGGGCAACAGGGGTGTGCGGACAGGACTCACACGCAGACCCACCCTTGCCTGGGAAAGAGGTCCTGGGGGGGCCCGGAAATGAAACGGGAGCAAACTGCGAACCAGCAGCCCTAACAAGACTTGACATGGGAAGGGCGCCTGGGTGGCTCAGATGGTTAAGCGTCTGCCTTCGGCTCAGGTCAAGATCCCAGGGTCCTGCGATCGAGCCCCACATCGGGCTCCTGGCTCAGCGGGGGGTCTGCTTCTCCCTCTCCCTCTGCCCCTCCCACTGCTCATGCTCTCTCTCTCTGTGTCGCAAATGAATAAATAAAATCTTAAAAAAAAAAAAAGATTTAACATGGGAAAAATAAGCAAACAGTAATAATACATGTGGAATAATACACTCCTCCCCATTCATATCTCTGGAGATGGGGATCACGGGAGACTTTTGCTTTCCATGACATCAAAATCAAAACATTATAAAAACATACAGCGGACACGCAGCTATATTGGTAATTACCAAAAAAAAAAAAAAGATTACTATTTCTTTTTTTTTTTTTTTAAAGATTTATTTATTTATTTGAGAGAGAGAGAATGAGAGAGAGAGAGAGTACATGAGAGGGGGGAGGGTCAGAGGGAGAAGCAAACTCCTTTGCTGAGCAGGGAGCCTGATGTGGGACTCGATCCCGGGACTCCGGGATCATGACCTGAGCCGAAGGCAGTCGCTTAACCAACTGAGCCACCCAGGCGCCCCGATTACTATTTCTTTTAAAATCCTGGCTGGGGAGGGCCAGGTCTTCCTTAACCAAAAGCTGAGGTGACAGGTGGATGCACGGAGGCCTCGGGCAGAGAACAAAGGACCGTGACCTGGGATTCTAGGATCTGGTTCCGGTCCCACATCCCTCCTTCCTTCCTAACTCTTGGGCAAGCTGCTTCCTCCCTCTGAACCTCAGTTTCCACATCTGTAAATAAGGGACAAAGGCCACTGCCTGAGTTTCCTCAAATGGCCAGAGGAAATCATTGATAAGGGTGTGTTTTATAAATTATAAAGTAGTCCATCCAATGCCGCTCAGGTTACAGAACACGTCCTGGGACATACTCTGCTAAGTGCCTTCCCTCTATCAACATACTTAATCTTCAAAATACCCTACAGGGAGGTAAGGTGCTAAAATTATCGCCTTTTTACAGCTAAGGAAACTGAGGCTCAGAGAGGTAGGGTGACTGGCCCACAGTCCCTTACTGAACACATGACAGCGAGGCCTCAAACCCAGGTCTGACTATGAAGTCTGGGTCCTCAACCAGTGCACTCTCCTGCCTTTGGGAACCGGTTTCCAAAGTGCAGGCCAAGGAATCCCGGTCCCCAGTGGTGTCCACGTGATCAAATAAGCATAGGGACACACAACGTGCCGGCTCCTCCTCCGAGCCTCCTCAAGCTCACTCCGACGCAGTCAAGGCTGAGAAGTCCTGTAGCAGGGACAACTTGTCTCCCAGGGTTATCTAACCACTGTGACCACAGAAACTGGTGTTCCACGGAACACACCTTGGGAAATGTGGTCAGGTCAGACTGACAAGATCTGCGCTGAGAGAGCAAAGAACAGAGGTGCACCATGAAACCTAACACTGGCATTTGAAGTCCAGCAGCCACATCCTCCTCCGCCGGCCACTGAGTCGGGAGAAGGAAGAAGCTTTCTGTCTCCTGCCACCTTTGCCCTCGATGCCCTGAATCTACAGTAAGAAGAGCAAAGGACTGCAGAGATGGATACTGCCCTTTGCCCCCTAAGCTGGGGAAGGCACCTGACTGGAAGCTGGCCTGGAAGGAGAGGGGACCAGTCCTTACCCCGTGGATGGCTCTGCTATCTGCGTGTTGGCTGTCGGTGCTGAGGCTGGCCCACGTCTGTCTGGGCAGGGTCTTGGCATTCCTCTCGCTCCATGGAAGCTGCCTCCCTACGAGGAAGTAAGAACTACTGTCAGCAGGGATGTGTGACCATCAGAGTTACCTGCTGCGCTGCCAACATTTTCTGAGTGCTGGCTCAGTGCCAGGCCCTGGGCTGGGCTCTTAGAGTGACAAGAGAGAACCAGACAAGCTACTGGGCAATGCCCACAATTACCGTTGGCTGTGGAGAGCCCAGGGCTCCGCTGGGGGTACCTGGCAGCTACAGGAATATAGAAGAAGCACTAGACCCAGACTAGTGGGGTGAGAGAAGGCTCCCTGGAAAAGGTGTTGCCTGAGTTGACTCCTGAGGAAGAGAAGAAGCTGGAGAAAGAGCATTCCAGGCATAAGAAACAGCACAAGTTTGCCTGGAAGGGAGAGAACATGACAGCTAGACAATGCTGAGTGGTTCAGTCTGACTAGATCTCGGACTGGAGGTGGGAGATGGCTGGACAGGAGCCACAGTGGGGCGTGCCCAGAGACATGAGTTTGACTCAAACACAAAATCCAACCAGCACCTATTAGTCAGGGAGCATTTAGTGAGCATCTACTACATCCCAGGCACTCTGCTCAGAACCATTCACAAACTCAAAAGGACAAGTCAGCAGGGTGGGGAGAGAAGTGTGATCAGACCACAGTAGGGGTGGGGGCGGGGAGTATCAAACCACTAGGAGTTGGGATGGTGGCTCAGCCACCGGGGAAAGGCCAAAGGATAAGCAGGAGTTAAGAGGAAGGAGGGAGTGCAGGTGGGGAGTGCACAGGCAGACAAAGGGAACTGAATGGCTCTGGGAGGCACTGTGGAGCCTTTTAACCACATTTACCAGTAAGCATTTCACGCACCTACTCGGTGCTAGGCATTGTGCTGGGAGGAAAGAAGCAGAAGACAGTCCCCAGCCTGGAGGAGAGATAGGTCAATAACCCAGTAAACCCACACAGGGTGACGGCAACTAGCAGTAAAGCACCTAGAGCTGTAAAGACGGAGAGGCCACTAAGCCAGACTCTACCCCCACCCTGCGCTCCTCAAGGACGGAGTCCCCACTGAGGCTTGGCAGCCCAGTCACCTGACCATGGCACAGCCTGAACCAGAACTCAGGCCTCGGAACTCCCTGTCCCTGATGCTTCTGGTCCTCCCTCTTCCAGGAAATACACACTGACCACCCCCAACATATTCACCCAAAGCTAAGGCCTCCTTCCTCTGTTATATTTCTATTATTATGCTGGCCACTGTGTCAATGTTTTCCTGCATGCCTCTCCTCCCAGACTGCAGCTCAGAGGAGGCCAGGGACTGTGTTCTCTAGCATCATTCTTGGTCCAGGCCAGGTACTTACTAAAGAATGGCTAAGTGGATGAATGGACGAATAAATGATTGAAGGATCGAGGGATGGAGAGATGGTGTGCTGGGCTCTAGGGCCCCACACCTATCTCACCTGACTCCTCATCAGGTCTTAGACCATTAACCCGTGCCTCAGTGTCCCCATGTGAAAACTTGGAATCACCTCCACTCTCAGAGGACAGGTAGTCAGGAACCAGCCTGATCCCTTCCCTCCAGCTTCTACAGGTGAGGTCCAGCCCAAGCCAGGCAGCAACCCAAGACCCAGCAACTTCCCCAAGTTCCGACCCAATGGGGCAATCCTCAGGATCCCCCTCTGTCCAGAAAGGCCACTCAAAGTTTGCAGAGGAAACTGGTGGGTGTGCCCGAGGGATGGAGTACAAAAGCACATCATTGAGTTGGGGAGGAGGGCGGTCACAAACATTTCTTGGGCCCTTGCTCTGTACCCTGGAAGGCAGAGGGGCATTAGACCACAACCCAGAGCACCTCTAAGACTGGGAACACAGGAAGACAGAGGCCGGTCATTCATGCCCAGCATCTCTCCAGTCCGCCAGCACAAGTCATCTGTCCTTGCCTCCCCTCACAAGCCAGAGGAAGACCTGACCTTCATGAAGGCAATGCCAGTGGGACTGAGCCACGGGCACTGCCCCGTCTCTCTGAGCAAACTCCCACTCCCCCGTCCCCTCCACAGGAAATGTCACCAACAGCAGACCTCCTCCTCCTGCCTCCAGTCTGTCTGCCTGCAGGTCTGTCTACTCGGAGAGGTTAAAGAAACTCCTAATGGAAAAGGTGGGTGAGGCCCATGGGAGCCTTTCAGCTCACCAAATCCCTCCTCCACAATTTAGGCCCAAATTCCCTTTCCCTCACAAGCTCTCTCCCTCTTCATCCTCACACCTCATCCTCAAAAGGCTTCCTGGGATAGAGCCGGGGAAGAAGCATGAGGGGAGTGTGGTCAGCCCCACCCTTCCAGCCAACTCCTAATCAGAAGGGTGTCGGACACCCCCCAACCATCTCTCCTCCTTCCCAAAAAAGGCAGTCCGTAGTTGCATCAGCTGAGCACCAGCCCAATCTTGGTTCACTCCAGTCCAGACCAAGGGGAAAAAACAGTCAACAAAAGAAGCAGAATCATCGTGAACCTCAACCACCCTGGGCCATGCTCCTTCAGCCTGGGAATCAACTTTGCTGGATCTCCAGCCCCGGGACCTCATCAGATCCGCCTCTCAGGCCCACACTGATGCACAGGGCATGGGCAGGGCCCCGGGGCCTCAGACCCTGAACCGGTCTTCCCGGGAACCCCAGTCCACACGGGCCCCAAGATCTTAGCCAGGGATCCTGCCCCCAAGTCAGGGCACTGTTCCCGCCCGATCAAGAGGAGGGAGGGGTCCAAGGGAAGTGGAGGGGGCCAGGAGCCCAGGAGAAGAGAACCCGGGAAACCTTTCAAAACGGAAACAAAAACGAAAACAAAAACCTGCCAAGGAGAGGTTCCAAGGTGGAACCTCTAGAAGTGGGGAGCGTGTGAGCGTAGGGATTAGGATCTGGGGGAACCCAGGGGATGACAAGGGGACCTGGGGGAGACCAGGCGGAAACTCCCGGTATGTAGAGCGCTGGGAGGCACTGGGGTGCCTGGGAGGGGGCTCGCGCGCCGCGGCACCGGGAGGAGGGTGGGGCCCCGGAGACCTGGAGTACGGGGGAGCCAGGAGGTAGGCCGAACTGAGCTGCCGCGGGAGGCCCCCAGGGAGCCAGCCGCGGCGGGCAGAGCCCGAGCGGCCCGAAACGCCCGGGACCGGGCAGCTGGCCGGGGGCGTGTAGGAGTGGGTTTCGAGAAGTGACAGCTCGTGCCCCTTTCCCCGCGCCACCCGCTCACCTGGTCCCGCCCGGTCCGGCCGCCCAGCAGGCAGCCCCGCACCCCCGCCGCTCCGTCCCGCCGCGGGCCGCTGCGCCCCTCCGGCGCCTCCTTTTGTTTGTCCCTCACTGCACCACTCAACCTCCTCCGCCCAGGAAGTGACGTCACCACAGGCGCGAGCGCGGCGGCTAGGGCGTCGCCATCTTTTGGATGGGAGCTCTCTTCGCGCCTTTACACCTTCAACTCCCAGGTGGCGCCATGTTGGTTTGGGGCGGAAGTAGTGGAGACCGGGCTCGCCCCCCTTAAAGGGACAGGGGCGGCTGTAACCTTCGGGGCGCGCTGGGGGACGAAGCGGTGAAGCCGCCGAGGCTGGGGTGAGTAGCTGGTCCATGCGCGTTGCTGCCCCGAGGCCGGGTGTCGAGGCCGGAGGACATGGTAACCGGTTCCGAGCTCGTTTGTGCCAGAATACTCGCTGCGTTTGATGCTGCCCGTACGCTGAGAGGCTGCGCCGAAATTCTAACCCAGCCTGGAGCCGCCCGCGGGGATAAATTGCGCGCGCTTGACGCTGACCCGCACTCGAACGCTGGGACCCGCCAGGCTGCCCTCTCTGCACCCACATCCCGCACCCCCGTCCCCCGCGATAGTATCTGTGGGGAGGAAGAAGCCCAAGGTAGCTTGGCTATTTATGGGCAGAGCCGGGGCTGGAACCGGGACACCGCTCAGTGGAGCCCGAGTCCTCGCAATTCCCACACCGACAGTAGTAACGGCAACCACGTTAGGAAATAATCCATACAATGGAATGCTGTGCAGCCGTTAAAACGAAAAATGTTCAATATGCACTAACATGGAACGACTTCCAAAGATACCTTAGATAAAAAAAGGAAGGAGAAAAAGAGCCGCGTTGATCGGCGCTACAGTTTGTGGAAAAGAACGTGTGTGAGAGTGTGCGTGTCTGCGGGTGTGCGCACCTCTGTCTGATAAGATGCACAAGAAGTGGTTAACTGTGGAGGCCTCGGACAGGACAACTGGAGCCCTAGGTACCCGGGCAAGGGGGGAGAATTTATTTCTTAAATAAGATGATGGGGCGCCTGGGTGGCTCAGTCGTTGGGCGTCTGCCTTCGGCTCAGGTCATGATCCCGGGATCCTGGGATCGAGCCTCGCATCGGGCTGCTCCGCGGGAAGCCTGCTTCTCCCTCTCCCACTGCCCCCTGCTTGTGTTCCCTCTCTCGCTGTGTCTCTCTCTGTCAAATAAATAAATAGATCTTTAAAAAAAAAAAAAGATGATGAAGATATAAGGGCTCGGATCCCTCAAGACTTGAGCCAGTGCCCGGGTTCAGCCCTCCTGCTGGAAGGTCTGATTTTCCCCTGTCGTTAGAGGAGGGAATAAGGCTCAGAGATTAGGGATTTTAGTGATATCTCATGGCCAGGAAGGGGAGAAGCTGGAATTTGAGCCTTGGAGGGTTTTACACTAATGGCCAGAGTCTCCTTATCCCACTTCCCACTGAGAAGCTTTTTTTTTTTTTTATCAACCACGTGACACCCAGCGTGGGGTCTGGCACACAGGCTAATCCAAGTTAACTGTTGATTGGCTGTTTACTGACTGAACAGGTAGAACAGACCAGAGACAACTGATCTGTACAATGAAGAGAGGAACACTAGAGGCAGGAGCCCAGACTAGAGTCCAGGGCTTGCCCCTTTCCAGCCTGGAGACTGTGAACCTGGCACATCCCTCCCTGAGCCTCCATGTCCCCACCTATAGAACTAACAAGCACGACCACAACTGCCACGGGTGCCCCCCTCCGTCCTGCTTTGGGCTTTACGTGCAGATGAGCCCCATTTTACAGATCAGTAAGTGAAGCACAGAGAAATTAAGGTAGTTGTCCAAAGGAGGTCCCCGAAGGGCCTGACTCCCCCACTAACTGAGAGAGATTGCTGGGCTCCTGGGTCTCCCTCTGCCTCCAGGGATCATCCGCACTAATGCTTTGGGAGACCTTCAGTCCTAGTTGAGCTGCCAGAGGCTGAGGATCTGGTAGAAAACAGGACAGACACACAGTTCCTGTCCTTGAAGTCTAATGAGGGTGACAGACAATCCAGCAGTTAGCATCTATGAGGAGCCAGTTAGCATCTCTGATGAGCTCTGGTGGGCAGAAGCTCAGGCCTTGGGAGCACGATGGCGGGAGCATCTGGCTCAGCCCAGGTGGCGTCAGAGAGGGCTTCTCAAAGTAGGTAACTTTTAATCTGTGTCTGAAAAACGTGTAGGATACCTGGAAGGAGGAATGATGACCCTGGAGACCCATGCAGAGGTGTGCTCATACCTGAAGGTAACTGACATGATCAGAGATCACGCAGGTTAGAAATGTTCAGTCTAGCATCTGCATGAATCACTCCTTCCTCCTGGAGAATGCCTTCCCATGCCAACATCTGTGGCTTTCCACCCTCCAGCCACACTTAACTTGTGCACAAATTCCGAGGAGTAGGACTTCCCGATTTTATGATCCAGGTGGGGGCAACAAAGGAACACAGGAAAGTTAACAGCAAGGAGGAACTTCTTAACTGACACGCCCACCTCCCCCTTAAGTGGACACCCCCACCCCCACCCCTGAATACCTTCCCCCTCCAGATTGGCAGCCAACCTGCTAAAGCAGGAACTCTGGGGCACCTGGGTGGCTCAGTTGGTTAAGCGACTGCCTTCGGCTCGGGTCATGATCCTGGAGTCCCTGGATCGAGTCCCTGGATGAGTCCCGCATCGGGCTCCCTGCTCGGCAGGGAGTCTGCTTCTCCCTCTGACCCTCCCCCCATCTCACGTGCTTTCTCTCTCATTCTCTCTCTCTCTCAAATAAAATAAATCAAAAAAATCTTTAAAAAAAAAATAAAGCAGGAACTCTGCCCTTGTGAATCCAGGTGTCAGTACTGGCAGTTCCTGTCTTTCCAGCTGTTTACGCTCACATGGGTTCTCAGGTTGCCAGTGTGTTGGGACATCTAGTTAGTTGGGCATGACCCTTCCCTCCCCCAGTTCTGTAGCCAGTCAAAGTTAACTCCTGCTACAGTGGGAGAGGAATCACTGTCAGTACTGTCCCAACAGACGTGGGGCCACATCCCACTCCCAGATTGCGCTGCCAGCTCCTTGGAAAAATGAGCAAATGCTCATGCTACTTCCTCATTCCTGGACAATGGTGTAAGCTTTGGATTTGCGGGTGAGGCCCTTCTGTGCTTTTCTGGGACTTTGACTTCGGGTAAGTCATTTCCCTCCTCTGAGCCTTAGTTTCTGTAAAACAGATGTGACTCTGTTTAATGTTCTTGCCAGGCATTAAGTATATAAATGTACATATATTTTCCCCCATGTGTAAAGCTGCCTTAAAGAGTGAGATTTCAATTTTGGATCCGGATCCTGTGCCAGGAGGAATAAGTAGTGGGCTACCTACTGTGTGTCTCACTCAGGGTCTCCACTCACCAGCCACCACCCTCTTACCTGGATACCTGCAGTCTGGGCTCCATAAGTCATTTCTCTCTCCTTTGCCAATTCCAAAGTCAAGGGAAACTAGATGTAAGTCACTGTGCTTACTAGATCTCTCCAGACAAGTTGTCGCCTCCCTTGGGGCAGAACCATTGACTCAAAAAGTTTTCACAAAACATTTGTCTTATAGGGACTCTCTGGTTTTGGACTGAAAAAAGAAAGAAAGAGGAAAAAAGGGAAAGAAAAAAATCAGGATTCATTATCTGGCAAGAGACTTTCCTGTATAGGTTTAAATCTTAACAGCTTTTTTTTTTTTTTTAAGATTTTTTATTTATTTGAGAGAGAGAACAAGCATAAGCAGAGGGGAGCAGCAAAGGGAGAGGGAGAAGGAGACTCCCCGCTGAGCAGGGAGCCCAACACAGGGCTGATCCCAGAACCTTGAGATCATGGCCTGAGCCGAAGGCAGACGCTCAACTGACTGAGCCACCCAGGCGCCTCATTTTAACAGCTTCTTATTGACAGGTTCCTTAGATGCTTAGATGGCATGGGGCTAGTCGGCAAAGCCAAGATTCTCTTGCCTGCCCTTGCAAGCTGCCACGTGGGGTGGAAGGGGCATGGCTCCAGTCCCCAAGGGCTGCTGGTCTGCAGGCAGGGGAGCTGATGGAGGTGGCTGCACCCACCTTCTGAAAAAGGGATGTTTGGGGAAAGCCTATGGACTGTTGGAAACAGGCGAACCAGGATTTGAATCCCGGCTCAGGCTCTCAGCTGAGTGTGCTCTGTTTGTTCTCCTCTGAGCAAAATAGGGATGATAATGCCTTCCTAGTAGTTTGTTTTAAAGATTAGGGAATTTAGCACAGGGGTCAGATGTATAGTAGTTGCCCTGTGAGTTCAGAGGAAGGCCCAGGTGGACACAGAGGCAGAGAGGAGGCAGAGCTGGGACTGGGCCCTGCTAGGGAGATAGGACTGGGAGGCATGCCAGGCAGGGGCACAGATGTCTATCCAAAAGCAAGCAAGGGGTGCCTGGCTGGCTCAGGTGGTAGAACGTGCAACTCTTGATCTCAGGGTGATGAGTTCAAGCCCTACGTTGGGCGTGGAGCCTAAAAATAAAAAAAGGGGCACCTGCCTGGCTCAATCAGTTAACTCTTGATGTCAGCTCAGGTCATGATCTCAGGGTCGTGAGATAGAGCCCCTTGCTGCCTGCACTGCGGTCCTTCTTCTCCGACTAATATTGGAGGAATAACAATACAATGATGGTATCTGTGGAACACTGACTCTTTGCGGGGCACCACGCTAAGTGATTTTCATGTGTCCTCTCGTTGACTCCTCATGACGACTTTATGAAGCAGGTGCTAATCATTATTCCGATTCAGAGATGATTCTCAGAAAGCCTTAATAATTTGGGGTGCCTGGGTGGCTCAGTCGGTTAAGCGTCTGCCTTCGGCTGAGGTCATGATCCCAGGGTCCTGGGATCGAGCCCTGTGGCAGGCTCTCTGCTCAGCGGGGAGTCTGCTCCCCCTGTCTCTCTACCCCTTCCCCGGCCCCTGCTGTCTTTTCTCGATCTCTCTCTCAAATAAATAAAATAAAATCTTTAAAAAAAAAAAAAAAGAAAGTTTTAATAATTTGCCTAAAGTCACAAACTAGTAAATGGCTTCAGTCCAATGTCTGTCTGATTGCAGAACCTGAAAGCCTCAAAAAAAAAAGTATTG